TTAAAATATAGTTTGCATTTCAATGTAGAATCAACGTTGAAAATGTGTTACGTTTTTCAACCAAACTCCTATTGTGCTGTCTCTTATACACATCTAGATGTGTATAAGAGACAGGATTATAATAAACTGATAGATTAAGCAAAATTAAAGTTACATCTTCCACCAGGGTGATTCTTTTTAGTAGCCTGGTGTTTTAAAAACTTGAGTGCTATTTCCGAGCATCTAGACGTGTAAATTTTACAAAATTTTCTAACTCTTACGCCGTACCAATCAATATATGTTTCCACCGGTTTACAGAGGAAATTTGTAGAGAATGAAATTCAAATTTGTTAGATTTATTTATATTTATCTCTAAAATAAAACCATTAGGACTCCTTGTTTTGTTTAAATAAATCTGTTTATTTATTAAATCTTCATCGTCTTACACTGAGCTTGTTCCTTGTGTCATGCACTATGAAATTTTGGGTGATCTGACGTCATCGAAGCACGTGTTTGCATGCCACTGCTGCACCCCTGAAAACGAAATTAACCAATTGGCGGGCAGGGTTTCAGAGGCGCGGTCTCTGCCCTCAAGTGATGAATGAAAAAAGTTAACGAAGAACTTGAGTGCTATTTCCGAGCATCTAGACATGTGAATTTTACAAAATTTTCTAACCTCTGCCCCAACCATGGTGGGGCTGAGGTTATTGGAGATTCTCACACCGTACCAACCAATAAATGCTTCCGCCGCCCCTGATTGAGGAGGAAATTTGTAGAGAATGAAATTTAAATTTGTTAGATTTATTTATATTTATCTCTAAAATGAAACCATTAGTTTTTCTTTATTCATTTAAATAAATCTGTTTAATTAAATCTTCATCGTCAATAATTTACACTGAGCTTTTACATGAAAATGACGCCAAAGTTAGAGTGGGCTTTTATACCCGAGGGTGGGCTATACCTGCGTCAGTTTGGTAATAATTAATTGGTTGTACAGTAAAATAAAATACTAGGCTAAGGTCCGAAAGTCAGCACATAATTATATTTAAATTAAGTTTTGAAATGTGCAAGGGATTTCTTGGCATTTACCCCACACAGGCCCCTGTATTTACTATCCTATACTAGAGGTAAGCAGGCTGGTAAATAATAATTTTTTTTTTTTATAGAATGAATCTTTGTAATATTGTATTCTGCCATTTATGATTCCACCTCTTCCTAGGCTTTGACAACAATTATTCACATCATCATTATTTTGATTTCCCATGGAAAACTATAATATTTTTTTTTTTAAATAGCAAATAGTAAATTTTTTTATGAGTTTCTAAATTTGATGAGGTTGGGGACATGAAACTAGCAATGCTTCTGCTACTGAAATGCTTCTCCTGCTGAAATGCTTCTGCTGCCCATGTAATAAAACTCACAGTTCCTGGTATCTATATGAGCTATGCTTTTAACTAGCCATTTCGAAAACAAATCAGTCCCAGGTATGCTCGTCCTACAATAGACAGTATTAAAACACCTCCCAGCAGGCACAAAACGTTAATTCAACGTTGAAGCAACGTTGAAATCATGTTCACAACATATACTCAACATTGAATCAACGTTGAAAATATGTTGTGTATTTAACCCAAGTCTCGGTTGATAATTTAACATTAATTCAACGTTGAATTAATGTTAAAATTTGGTTGATAATTTAACAATTACAGTACCAACATGTATTCAACATCATTTAAACGTCAAGTTAATATATAGTTTGCATTTCAATGTAGAATCAACGTTGAAAATGTGTTACGTTTTTCAACCAAAAACCTATTGCTTTTTCAACATTTTTTCTACGTTAAATGAACGTTGAAAATATGTTGAGATTTTAATGTTACATTAACTACGCAAGTTCAACATCAAGTTAAAATATAGTTTGCATTTCAATGTAGAATCAACGTTGAAAATGTGTTACGTTTTTCAACCAAACTCCTATTGTGTATTGAACGTTTTTTCAATGTTAAATACACGTTGCAAATATGTTGAGATTTTAAAGTTACAGTATCAACATAAGTTCAATGTTTTTTCAATGTGAAGTTAAAATATAGTTTTTTATATAACTTTATTTCAACATTGAATTCACTTCGAAATCTGGTTGAGATTTTAACATTCAATTACAATGTTTATTTAACATTTTTCAAACGTTAACCCTAAACATAATTTTTATTAAAATGTGTTGTGTATTTTTTTAAATGTATCCATTACATACTTAACGTTATTTCAACAATAAATAAACGTTGAAAAATGGTTTAGATATTGAAATTACATTAACAACATTAGTTCAACATCTTTTTAATGGTTAAAATATAGTTTGTATTTTACATATAATCAATGTTTAAACTATGTTATTTGAGATTTTAAAGTTACACTATCAACATAAGTTAAATGTTTTTTCAGTGTCAAGTTAAAATATAGTTTTTACTCAACTTTAATTCAACACTGAATTCACTTTGAAATCTGGTTGAAATTTTAACATACCAATACATTGTTAAGTCTAAATATAATTGTTATTTCAATGTAGAATCAACGTTGAAAATGTGTTGTTTTCTTTTTTACAATATATATATTACTTTAACTCAAAGTTATTTCAACAATAACATTGAAAACTGGTTTGGATATTAAAATTACAGTAACAACATTAGTTCAACATCTTTTCAATGTAATGTTAAAATATAGTTTGTATTTTAATGTATAATCAACGTTTAATGTTACCGTATGTTTTTTCAATTAAAACTGTTTATTTCAACATTATTTAACGTTAAATAAACGTTGGAAATATGTTGAGATAGGCTAAATCTGTTCAACGTCAACTTAAAATTGCATTTCGATGTAGAATCAACGTTGAAAATGTGTTATGTTTTTCAACCAAAGACCTATTGTTTATTTAACGTTTTCTCAACGTTAAATAAATGTTGAAAATATATAGTTTTTTACTCAACGTTATTTTAACATTGAATTCACTTTGATATCTGGTTGACATTTTAACATAAAAATTGCATTTTAACATAACAATTGCATTGTTTATTCAACATTTTTCCAACGCTAAATTTAAATATAGGCCTAGCCTTTATTTCAATGTTAATCATCGTTGAAAATGTGTTGTGTTTCTACAAATCACCCATTATTTACTCACCGTTGTTTCAACAATAAATAAATGTTGAAAACTGGTTGAGATATTAAAATTTCAGTAACAACATTAGTTCAACATCTTCCCAATGTCAAGTTAAAATATTGTTTTTATTTTAACGTATAAGCAACATTTAAAATAAGTTGTGTTTTCAACCCGGAGTTTAAGATTTTAACAAACTTTATTTCAACAATGAATTCACTTTGAAATCGGGGTGCGATTTTAACATAACAATTGCAATATATTTTTTCAATATTTTTCCAACGTTAACTTTAAATATAGTTTTTATTTCAATGTAGAATCAACATTGAATGTAGGCCTACCCATTATTTACTCAACATTATTTCAACAATAAAAACGTTGAAAACTGGTTGAGATCTTAAAATCACAGTAATAACATAAAGTTTAACATCTTTTCAATGTCAAATTAAAATTTAGTTTGTATTTTAACGTATAATCAACATTTAGAATGTTATTTTTTTCAACCAAGTTTAAATTTCTTTAACTCAACCTCAACTTGATATGAAATTTTATAGAAATAATTGTACAAGATTTATTAAAGTTTACCTCCATGGTGGGGTATAAAAAAACTCATAGGCCTATTATGAGAGTATATGATCTTTAATCATTATGGTAATTACATTGGTTCTCTGTCCTTGAAAGTGTGACAAGTAATGGGCTAATCGGATTAGGTCATTAGGTACAGACCAATCAGAAACAAATGCTCATTTTTTGAAGTATCAGTTGCTGTAAAGCTGTCTTCATACACAGTTTACATACTAAAGAATTTCAGCATTATCAAATAAATGGTAAGAACTGTATATTTGTATACAGTACTATATTACAGGGTGTATCTAGGCTAGCCCAATATCGTAACTGTATAGGCTTGCTTTATATTATTATGTGGTTATCTTTTGTTCTAGCTAAGATTTAGGCCAGCCAGCCCTCTGGCCCTAGCTAGTAGAATAGACTAGGCCTAGACTAGAGTACTGTAGGGTAGTGTAAGGGCATAGTTAGCATAATTTTACTTGTTTGGGCTACACTGCAAGTTGGATGTGTGGGCTAAGTTTAAATTATTAGCGGTAATTTTTAATCGCCTAGGCCTAGACTTTTTCCAAAATAGCCACGTCCTGTGTTGAAATGCTATAATAGGGTCTATATTAAATTAAATATAATGTTAAAATGTGGTTGCATGGACAAAGTGCAAAAATAAAACAGCTAGGCCTAGGCCTATAGGCCTATTAGTATTATGTGTGTATAATAATTCATCTCATATCATGGGCCTACATACTGCCAGTGGTATAATAGCCACATCACTGTCATGTCATCAGTAATCATTTTCTTCTTTTGTTTTTTGAAGATGTTAATAATGTAAATTTTTATATTTTCTGTCAATAAAGAGAAAAATTAACAATAGGCCTATATCTTTTGATGGTTAGTGTTATAAATAATAGAAATATAAAAATAGATATGGGCTAATTTAGTTGTGTGCATAGGCTTAACTATAAATAATATGGTATTTCTTTCAGGTTTTCAATCCATTGACAGGAAGCCATGTTTGTTGCAATATATTGTTTGTGGTAGACACTGGGAAGAAACCGACTATTGAATGTGTATTTATTTGTCTCCTGGTACAAAACTGATGGAAGAGCAGCCATGATGAAGCAGTAAAAAGGTATATAATTTTTATTGTTAAATTTTACAAGAATATATATACTGCACATTTGCTAATACCACTATCCCACAGCAATAAGTGACTACCCTACTGTGTCACAGTATAATAACCATTTGTTTCTTAATTAAAGTCTTGGGTACCTAAGAAGTCATACAAACAGTAAACAGCATTTGTCTTAATCGTCGTTTTACGACTATTATAGTCATATGAAGGCGATTATTAAGTTTAAATTAATTGGGGACAGTCAAATCGTAAATATTATCTTAACATACTTAATATTCTTCAACGATAAATGGCACCTAACTTCGTAGTATAATGCTGTCTGAGTTGCCCTTAAAGAAAAATGTATTTAAATCTTTGAAAAAAAAAACACATTCTATTATTGAAAGATGTGCCTTAAAGTCTTTTTCAAACTTACTTTTGTTCTCCATCCATATATGTTGTTTGGTGTTGTTCCTAATTATTTAGCAAAATGTTAAATTGTTTTAGTTTAAGCCCATTATTAACCTAGGCAATTACTGTACTCTCACAACATTCAATTTAATATTGTGCATATCAAAAGTAATAAAACTGAATGAATATGTGTTTTAGGTTAAGTGCCACTCTCTATACAGAAATCTCTAACTGTCCATGTTTGCAGTACTGTAGTTCATAGTGAATATTTTTCAGTATTTGCATCATTATTGGTAATGCTTGCAGTATATCAATGTAGATTGCTCTGGGAAGAACAGTTGTTTCAACTATCTACATGTAGATAGTATTTACATTTTAAAAATTATACTACATGTAGTATAGTATTTACATTTTTAAAATTTACCATACAATTAACTTTAAAATAATATTTCAGTCTTTGTTTCAAATATTTTTGTTTTGTTTTTATCTTTCTCAAAGGTTCTTGGATACCTTGCTTCAATACCTCTTGTCAAACAAGAAAAGACCTGGCTAAGGAGTAGAGCTTCAAATAATTTATCACCAAGAAAGTTACTGATTTAATCCGAATCCTGTAACGCGAAAGATTCTTAATTAAGCTAAGTGTGCAATATTAGGTCAGTTAAGACGACAGTAATGCATAGGTATATTTTGAAATCTAGACATAGTAGCTGTTGTTATATTATTGATTTAAACATGCCTGTATAGTACAATGCATAATATTTTATGTTTTCTGCAAGCTTCAATTAAAGAAAAATGGTCAAGTATATTTTGAACTCAGTGTATTTTGTAAGTTTAAAGGATTAAACATTGACATTGACTCAACATTGAACATTTTACATTGAATTAACATTGAACATACTACATTGAATCGACGTTGAAATTTATGTTGATGCAAACTTTCATTCACAACCAAAATTCAACATTGATTCAACATTGATCGTTTGACGTTATTATAACGTTAAATAATTGATGTTGAAACAGCTTTAGACACTTTACGTTGAATCAACGTTGAAATTTACGTTGATGAAAACTTTCATATTCAACTAAAACTCAACGCTGATTTAACATTGATCATTTGACGTTGTTTTAACGTTAAACATTGACGTTGAAACAACTTTAGGCATTTGACGTTGAATCAACGTTGAAATTTACGTTGATGAAAACTTTCATATACAACCAGAATTCAATGTTAATTCAACTTTGGTCATTTGACGTTGTTCCAACGTTGAAAAATTAGCGTTGAAAAAACCTTAGACATTTTACGTTGAATCAACGTTGAGATTTACGTTGATGCAAACTTTCATATACAACAAAAATTAAACGTAGATTCAATGTTTGCATATTACGTTGAATCAACGTTATTTCAACCAAGTTGTGCCCACTGGGCTACCTTTTTACAATTTGGACTAGATACTGTATTACTAAATCCAGGATAGAGATGTGTACAGTATTCTCTACTCCACATATCTTCCAGTCACTAGTCACCACATGACTAGTGACTGGTACCTCCTTACGTACTGCGTAGTAGGGTGTGGCATTATGTACAGAAATTTTCCGACCGATCATGATGGCGGCTTTTCACAATATGAATAGGTCTACAGTAGTACGTCACTAATGTAGACGGGTTTCCAAACTAGCTCTCATGATGTGGGAATTTCGTAAGAATTGTAATATTCAGCTGAGTACTGTTGATCACTGTGGCATATTATACCGGATTTATTTATGTATAAATTCTTTTGTTTGAGTGTTAAACATTGATTACACAATGCGGGAAAAAACCCATCTTTGGAATGCATAAAAATTAATAACAGTTCAAAAGTATTTTGACATTTTGAAAGTTCATTGGATCAAAGAATTCATTGAAATTGCAGGGTATGCCTAATATTAGTGCTGTTTAATTACTTACATTGTCATGACCAACGGGTTGCATAGTCCTACTGAGTCAATTGTATTGAATTATTGAGCATTCGTTCATTTAATTCAGGCTCTGTGATTCCTATTGTAATGTGTACATGCACCACTTGCTAAAGTACATACAAAGTAAATATTGGTATTGTCAGGTCTGTAGAAATGTAAAGGTTGGTGTAGACATTTTAAGGGGGGTCCGGGTGATAACATTGGTAAGCAGGTCCGTAGCCAGTTTCAGCCAAGGGGGAGTTCAGGGTGTGGGGTCCAGAGGCTGTCTCTTATACACATCTAGATGTGTATAAGAGACAGGTATAATGCTGTCTGAGTTGCCCTTAAAATGAAATAAATTTTTGTAATTACCCAATGCGAGGGAGTAAGAGTGCTTGTATGCAGGGCCTCTAGTAATAATGATACCTTCCTTTTACAGGACTTCAAGACAAAAACACTGAAATTAAGTAAATTTGAACATCAATAAATATTTATTGTAATTTTTTTCTGCTAGAAATCAATATTACAAATACTCTAATACTACTATACAATAATCGTAATGTAATTGCTTAAGTCAAAAGGGGTTTGCTTGTCAAAGGGGGGTTCACTGAAAAAGGGGGTTCTGCTGAACCCCCAGGAAACTCCTGGCTACGGGCCTGCAACTATAAGTATTAAGAGTGGATTTTAAGTATGGGCAATGGGGTTAACATAGGTGGGTGGAGGATCATGAAGACTGTGTCATATATATGGGCTGCGCCCTCTACAGTCTTGTGCTCTCCACGCATGACGGTGTCCGTGAACGCTTCTAACTTAATTCGCTCGTTGATGGTGCTGTCCATAAGGAGGAAAAGTTCCGAAAAACTGGCAAGGGGTTTGTGTTGTTTATTTTAATAAATAGGGTGTTTTAATTTCGTTATTAATTGAAAAAAACAGAAAGTAAGTAAGTTAAAACGTGTAGACCTATAGACCTAGACCTCGATGTTAACAATGTAGGCCAGAGAATATTTATGTAAACTACCTGTATGTAGGCCTAGCCAAGTGCAAGCCTACTGCTGCATACAATAGGCATTTTTCGTTTTGACTACGCGGCCAGTCTACTACGAACTAATAGAGCGTGACGGACATCTGCGCATGCTCACAAACCTTACTGGCTAAATCGGCATTGTGACAACTTCCGCGACATCCCCAATTTCTGAATTTGGCGTAGTGGCGACTACCCTAATATTGACCAATCAGATCACCGGATTGTTTGGCAAACTGCTGGTAACTTTTTTGTTGGGGGTTGCAATTTTCATCGCATCCGCGATCGAGCATTGTTCGTTTAATAATGAATTAATTATTAAAACAAGTGAGTAATTAAATGTTTTATGAAGGCCTATTTATACACATGCAATAAATGAGGAATGAATAGTCACCATAAAATTAGGTAAATCAGGGGATGTAGTGAAAAAAGGGCTTTAGGCTTAGGCCTAGGCTAGCCTAGCCTTGTCAGGGTGATCATCGGGTGAGAAAACACATTCTCGTGCCGCTAGCTAGGGCAACCGCCCTTGATATCGTGGATCAAGCCTTGCTATACCTCTGTTTAAAATTGTTATTTATTTGTACATCATCGTTGCATTTGGCAAATTGCCTGAGCAGGCCTGACACCCCTCTTCTCCCGGTTAACGACTCTTTTGACACCTAGGCTAGGCTAGGCCTAGCCAGGTAGATCCCAGCCAACAGCGAAACGTCACTCAGTGTTTTCTGGAAACTTTTTATTTTGTGTACAGTATTTGACTAAAGTTTTTTTCACATTTCCTTTTTCAAATATAAAACAAGGGAACATTGTTCTCTGGTAATAAAACAATGGTCGAATAACTCCGCTCCGGCCTACGTACGTGTGCTACGTCATCGTAGTCGCCTTAAAAAAACGAAAACAGCTCTTGGTGTAGTACGCGAACAGTGTCTTGGCGTTGCCGTCACGGTCCATTAGTTCGTAGTAGACTGGCCGCGTAGTCAAAATGAAAAATGCCTAATACAAAAAGAGTGCGCACGGTTACTGCACGCCCATGGCCACAATAGCTTAGAAAACTTGCTTTCTTCCCAAGATTGTCATTTATGGTTCCCTGAACATGTGCTAACTGAAATCATGGAGGTATAAAAATATATTTTATACCTCCATACTAAAATATTGTATGGCCCATCCGTGAAGGCCTATTTTTAATCTTGAAGAGCTTTTGTCTTTTTGAATAACTTTGCTATTTATTTTATGAGAATTTAATAATATAATAAATAGACAATTCTGTGACTCAAGTCATGTGACATGATTTATAATATTTTGGAAAATTATAAACTGGCAGCAGAGTGAGCGATGCTCAGTACCACTGTAAAGATTAAAATCGGTCAGAGAATTGGATGCAATGAGTCATAAATAATAATTAATAAACTGGTTGTACAGTAACATAAAAAACACTGGCACATAATTAGTTATATTAAGTTTGAAGCGTGATGGATTTCTTGGCATATCCCCAACACATGTCCTTGCATTCTGTAAACCAGGGGTGGGCATAAAAATCGGTCAGAGAGCCAATTTTTGATTTAACACCGAGGGCTCACCCAAACTTTGATGTTTCCAATGGCCTTCCAAAAATAATAATAAAATAATAATTCTGGATTTATATAACGCCTCACGTTGACAACCTCGAGGCGCTTAACAACAACAGAGAAGAAGCAAAATTAATTAATTTCAAATGATTGGTTTGATGATTATCAATAAATGTTATTATTACAATGCTTTGGTAAATTGGAATCATTTCAAGGCCTGTTACTTTCCTATTCATCTCAAATCCTTTCATTTTTCTTTCCCTTTTGCTTCTTGTCTTTCTTCCTTTCCCTTCAAATGTTCCTGATCTTTACTTTTCTTGTCCTTTCTTATGTTTCCTTATCTTATCTTTCACATTCCTTTCTTAGATTCCTTATCTTTCCTTTCATTTTTTTTCTTATAATTCATATTATTTCTTTTCTTTTCCTTTCTAATGTTTCCATGTCTATCTTTCCTTTCTTTTCTCTTCTCATGTTTCCTTATCTTTCCTTTTTCATCCTTAGTTTATCTTTCCTTTCCTTTTACTTTCTTATATTTCTTATCTTTCTTTCCATTTACCTTCTTATGATTCCAAATTCATTTCTTTCCTTTCTTATGTTCCTTATTCTTACTGTTATCTTACTTATGTTTCCTTATCTTTTCTTTCCTTTTCCTTTCTTATGATTCCATATCGTTTCTTTCCTTTTCCTTTCTTATGTTTAAACTTACCTTTCATTTAAACAAAACAAAACAAGAAAGAACAATGAATTGGCAGAAGGAATTTAGAGGCAACTTTCAAAACTTTCAGTGAAG